TTTCCCACCCCCGAACCGGCCTTTAAAAAAAAAAAAAAAAAAAAACTAGCGTTTTCTTGTCAGCCATCCCCTCGCCAAGTATTCAAACCCAAACGTTTCTGAAATCCTAAGGGAATCTCCTACAAATTATTCCGAAAGTCCCTTCTAGTGTCGAACGAGAAAATAAAGGCCGTTTCCACTATTAAGGACCTTGCGTTCCCGAGTCTGGGCTGACAAAAGTAGGTTTCTGGAGACGAGAGGGGGAGGGAAGCGGGGAGAGAGAGAGAGAGAGAGAGAGGTGGCCTTGCCCAGGACTATGTTTCAGGTAAAAAAGGAAAATCACTTTCTTAGTTGGTAAGGGACGTGAGCCACGAAGTGGATTTTAGACCGGAGGAGAAGAAAAGAAAAGAAACAGGGGTCTGTTTTAACGCATAATTTATAGCGCTAACGTTGGCAAGTTAAATCTTCCTCCTCCTCCTCCTCCCCTCGAGAATTTTACAAATACTTTAATCCAGCCCCAGAGTTGGGAGGATTATGCTAAAATCTCTAGACTGTGCCGACTACACTCCAAGCTCCATTCCGGCTTCCCGCTCCCCCGCCCCCCACCCCCAAATTTCCCCAAATCAAAGCTGTCATAGGAAAGCATTAACATGCATTTTCTTCTGAATAATACATATATCTATGTGTAGGAAATCCTTCCCTTGAGCGGGGAACTCTTAAATTAACGCCAGTCTTAGGGGGCTTTGGAAGCAGACATCGCTGCCAACAAGGAGAAGCCGGCTTCGCCATTCATTTCCTGTGCTCCGGGCCCTCCACCACCACCACCACCCCCCAGTTTGTGTGTCAAAGGGGAACAAAAGATATAGACCTTCTAAATTTTATTTTATTTATTCGTTTATTTATTTGCTGCTTCCCGGGAACAAGGGTACGCTTACCTGAATGTAACTCACTCCGCTCCAGCGCTGGGTTTATGACGCCGGCCTTCCCAAGGGCCTCCTAACTTACGGCTTGCTTGTGTTACACCAATCCCCTTGATTTGTTATTTCAGCTGAGCAGCGGAAGGTCAAACTGTTTCTTTACAAGGAACTATAATTAAAACGCTTAAAGAGCCATCAAAATATATAGATGATCCCTCTTTTCTCTCCCCCCCCCAAACTAAATATCCTTCCTTGCAGGTACATAGAAAAAACATTGTTTGTCCTGCCTTGTATGCAGAAGGCAGTTTGTCTCAAGGCCTACCACCGATTTTGGTATTTGTAAGGCCCTTGAAAATATGCAGTTGCACCAGATATTTCCAGATATTTTTTTTTGGGGGGGGGGTGTTAAAAAATCAGTATGCTGTAATTATAGCCATCCAGTGCTGGGGATTTTCCTGACATACTGACAGCATGTCGCCACTTCTTTTTTTAAATTTTTTTAATTTAATGATTAGCTGTTTGATTCTCCACTTACCTCTTTTTACACAGTACTTTATACATTCAACTGAAATGCTGGGAAAAGGCTACACCAGTTGTAAAATAAGCTTTATGCTGAAGTCCAAAGGCATAAACTGGCTTCATTAAGAAAGTCATGTTTTAGAAATACTGCATAAACACAGAGGCACGTACATTCACAAGGCCTTCTTCCAAAAGTGCACATTATCTTAGCTTTTATTTCTCTTCATCGCCTAAGTCTTTCGATCTATTGTATACTTGTATCACTGTCTATTTTTTTTCTGAATAATACAGCCATGCCCATAGAGACTTCAAAGCACATGGCTTCAGCATGTATTGCTGTATAAAACCAGTCATTCAGTATTTAGGGTATAAAGCTTCTTCACTCAAATCCGTGGAAAATCAGGCTTCCTTCAGCGAATTCATTTCTCCCAGCCTGCATCACACTCTTCTTATGGTTCCAGCACAGATCAATGGGAATTTGCCTTTGAGTTAAGGTGGTGGGTTGCTTAGGTATTGTGTCCCTCTCTATCTCCACACTAAATGCTTTTCTGTCTGTTATTTACTGTGGATCTTGTTTACTAGGAAAATGAAATCTTGGCCTGTTTCCTGTCATAGGGAAACTAATAATACCTCTTGGTAAGCAGAATGCTGCTGAGATCCATCTAGATGTTAAACCATTACAGGTATTACTGGAGGAAGGGGAGGAAAACACTCCATCATATTCAGTTTGTCACTTTCTAGAAAGCATCATGTCAACTACCTTTAAGAGAGGCCGTGAAGTGTGAGAAATGTATTCTACATGAGAAAAAGGTAGTAGAGAGTTAAAAAAAATGCACAATTTTGGCTTTGCAGCCATTGCACATAGAAATAATTGCAGAGTCTCTTTTGTCTGGATTTCTTCCACAGCCTTCCCTCCCCTCCTTTTTAATATATATATATAAAACTTGCTAGGAAATTAAATTTGGGCTCAAAGGACTCTATGAGAGAGTCTGTCTGTATAAGACAGCAAATGGAAATGTATGTAGTAGTTTACAGTAAGTGCAAGACAAAGGAGAAAGGCAGCACCAGAATGTCAAAATCCATTGGCTGGTGTTTTCTCTTGTCTGTGTTTTTTGCTTTTCCTTTTCCATTTGGAATCCAAAGTAAAGCCAGGAGACCATCCTGAAAATAAAATAAAAAAAAAAAATGGCTGATGAAGGAAGGAGTATTTGTGATATGGAAGAAAATCTCCATCTAAAAGCATGCTACGTGGTGATGGGGCTGGAGAGGAGGAAGGAAAGCAAATTAAGTTAAGGGGGCTTCAAATTGGAGATGTCCAAGAAGGCTAGGAAAGAGAAACTGGAGTTCCCAAATCTCTCATATTCTCCACTGAAGGCCCTTCTCTAAAGGGAGCAGGATGCTTGCTGGCTTGCTTGCCTCCGTTAGAAGGAAAGCATTGGTAAGAAGGAAGCGAGCCCCCGCCACAGATTTCCTCCTTGATGCGCTCAGAGGACAGACCCCTCTGAAAGACCTTCCCTTGCTGTCTTGCAGTCTTACTGAGATAAATGGGGCCTAGATGCTTCCGACGGCGTGTGTGGGTTGGGTGGCTGGGGAGGAACGGAGACCTACTGCTAGCGATGAAAGGTGTCCTTAAGGGTGTGCTCGTGGAAGAGGTTTGGGGAGGCAGAGTGGATTTTGCAGGCCTCCATCTTTAAATCGCTGGAGTCCTGCCGCCCCTCGCCATCCTTGGCAGATCACTCAATCCCTCTCCCTACCCTGCTCCATCGCGCAAAGTCTCCCTGGATTGCCTCTTTCCTTGCAGGGGAGAAGCCCTTCAAGTGCGAATTCGAAGGCTGCGAGAGACGCTTCGCCAACAGCAGCGACCGAAAGAAGCATTCCCACGTGCACACGAGCGACAAGCCGTACAACTGCAAAGTGAGAGGCTGCGACAAGTCGTACACGCACCCCAGCTCCTTGCGGAAACACATGAAAGTCCACTGCAAGTCCCCTCCTCCCAGCTCCGGCTACGAGTCGTCCACCCCGTCGCTGGTGTCCCCGTCGTCGGACTGCGGCCGGGAGCCTCCTCAGCCGCCGCCGCTGCCGCCGCCGCCACCACCTCCAGCTGCAGCGGCCTCCTCCACCCAGGCGGCAGCTAACCTGAGCGAATGGTACGTGTGTCAGAGCTCAGGGGCCGGCGGCATCCCGACTCCACCCAGTAACTCTCCGTCACCTCACCCGGGAGAGGCCGCTGCTTACACAAACTGTGAACCCCGGCCCAATTATTAAAGTCAATACGGTAGGACTGCCCGCCGCCGCCGGCGAGACTGCGCTGTGTTCTTTTCGGGGGTGCTTTGGAACCTCGGCTCAACCCAGGCGAAGGACGGGGTCGGAAAGCTCGGTTTTTAAGGGAGGGGAGGAAATCGATCTTCGATCCGGGGATCAACCCCCCTCTTCTCCTCCTTCCTTCCCCTCCCCCAATCACCTTGATCAGTAATGCTGCATAGGCCACCGGAAAGAAGATAACACTGTAAAAAGAAAGAGTGTGAGAGAGAATGAGACAGAGAAAGAGAGAGAGAGAGAGAGAAAAGATCCATCCACCCCCTTTCCCCATCTCTTCCCCAATTTCCCTTTTGTATTTATTATAGTGCCAGGAACACAGGAAGGCAAATATCCCATCGCCACTTTCCACAAGCATCCTTATTCTTATTGTTGCTTTTTCACCATATGTCTACTCTAGACTTTTTCGACCACCTCCTTTCCGTATGTTTACAAAGGCCCCTGACTGAATTGAAACGTACTTTTGTATCAATGAACCAAAGTGTTTTCATACAGATTTCTAGCTATATTGTTGCAATCGTCGTGCTGGTACCTTGTGATGGTGTTTTCCTTGGAATATTTTGTTAACCCTGTGTTTTTATTTTAATTGGGTTTTCCTCCCCTTTCCTTCACCGCTTTTGGACGTGTGTGAATGTGTGTTTGTTCTTTTAAAAAGAAAATATCAGTATCTATAAATATATTATTTGTTAACCCATTGTACACCAATCGATCGATTAAATACTTCAATTAATTCACCAACTCAGTTGGCGAATCTTCTTGCTGCCCCTATTTCAACAGTATATTCTCCCCACTTGTCACTAATAAAACAGGCCCAAGGGTGGCTTAATGATTTATGGTACATTTTAATTTACACTAGCAATGAATTCAAGTGCATAAACATATTCTCCTTTTCTCTCACCCTCCCAGTGTTATTTCTGTTGAATTGTGAGTTGTTGTGATTCCTTAGTGGATGGAAGGTGAGATCCATGTTAATTGGAGAGGGAGGGGGGGGTTGTTATGAGTGACGTCATAGTGCCGAGTTGCTTGGATTGTCCAAAAGGATCTACGAAGTTTTGACTTCTCTGAGACCATGATGTAAACCCAGTGATGGACTTGTTTTCAAGCGCACAATTGTTATGTAAAATAATAGTTCAAAAATATTATTATTATTATTATTAAATTTTTTGTAATGGCAAAATAAAATTGTTTTAAAATCTTGAACATATCCAAAGGTCTCCAAGCCTATGGTTTTTGAGAAATTGCATGTTAAAGGAATCTCTCTTACTCTTCAGGATAAAACAACTGGGGAGTAGTCGGGAACTAGGCATTATTATCAGGAGGTTTAGATCACTTGTCTCGGATCCTAAAAGCATCACATTGAATTAAGTCCTTCCTATTGTAGAGGAAGATGGTTAGAGGCCCACTGGGCTAAATCCAATTGTTAGCTCCAGCTTGAGTAGACACACTAAATGACTGGGACTTGTTAAGTCAACATTTATGTGAGGCCCATTGATTCAGTCTGCTCTTGCTGGAACTCAGAACTGGAATTGGTTCAGTTGATTTATTGAATTTGATGGAATGTTATTGATACACTAAAAATAAAGTGGAAGGACTCCTTTTCCAGAAATCACAACTACATCTTTCCCAGAGTTTCTACTATGCCTTCTATTTAACCCTTAGGTTAACTATAACAGAAATTTCTGGGCATTGGTGCATAGCATTGCCAACATAAATCTTTCCTTGTGGTTGTGTGGCGCTGTACTCCCTCCGAGTTCAATGGGATATTCAAAGTCACTATGAGTACCGTAATACTTACCTAAGATGAACGGGCTGTTCATTTCTTCACATTCCAACTAAAGGATTGCGAGCTGTCTGCCTATATGTATGAAAGGCGACAGAGGCAGTTGTGTTTCTCCACACCGCCTCCCTAAAGGCACTCTCAGGAATCCTGTATTTATCTGCTTGGAAGTAAACCCCATCGAGTTCAATGGGCCTTGCTTCCAGATAAACAGCTACTGGAACGCAACTGAAACCTAATAAAGAAATGAACATTTGGCCCCCGGTGGCGGCGATGATCAAAATTAAAAACTAAAGGGAACTCCCTGTTTGTGTTTGCTGTTTAATCCGTCTGAACTGGGGAAGGAGACATCGCCGGAACCGAAGGTATGGCGGCCCCTCTGCAAAGGAGCCAATGTGTCCACCTTGCCTGGAGCCGGACTTCTCCCTGGCCTACTCCGTCCTTCGCCCCCTGCCCCGCGCCTTTTCTTCTTAATTTCTTTCTTTGCCGACCGGGTTTTTGGATGTGTAGGCTAATCACCTTTAATTTTTCATTTGCTTGTTACAGATGTCTGTCCCGTTGCTCTCAAGGTAATCTAGACAGAGGCAGCTGAAAAGCCCCGCATCTTATGCCTTAGACATCAAAGCAGGCTCCCACAATGAAAGTATTTCTTCGCAACGGTGAATCTTCATGGTGAGTTAAGATTTCTATAGCAATAGGCAAGTCATACTTTAAAAGAGTGAAAAGCGAAGTCTGGAGCCCGTCTAGTCTTTTCATGAAGGACATAATATTTAGGTCTCTCCCCTCAGCGCCTCTCCCCGCCCCCACGGGCTCCTTAAAAAAACCACGCAGATACAACCTCCTCCTCGGTTATAGGTGTTTGTGTACACACACACACACACGCGCGCGCGCGCGCGCGCGCACCTATAATACGTCCCCACATACATGTACACGCAGACCTTTGTGTTCCGGAGGGACGTTCAGAATACATAGTTTTCCTTCGAATTTCCGGGGCAAAGTGGAGGGGGGGGGACCACGCGAAGTGGGGGCTCTACTTCCAGCCCACAATCAGAATGGATAAGAATGTCAGGAAGAAAAATGGGGCCGCTTGAATCGCCGCCCGTCACTTCACTTTTGTTCCTGTTCTTCTGCGCCCTGATCAGAGACCGGCCTTTGGGATTTGATGGCGACTTTTCTAAAGGCGAGGAAATGGGTTTGAAGGAGGGAAAAGAAAAGGAGAAAGGCCTAATCAAGCCCGGCCTTGTTCAAAGGGTCTGATTTTAGGGCTGGAGGGCCGGGGAGGGAGGGAGTCTGGGGTGAAAGTGTAAGCTTTATGGTGCATCAACATGCCACGTTAGGATCGCTATGGTAATGAGCGGAGCAATAGCAAGCGCCCTTGAAAAGGAGGCACACTCCATTCGAGACAGTCTATTAAGATACATTTGCGCTGACCTTTGGTTTCATGCTAGCTTAATACATTCAATCTGCTCTTCCTCTGAGATGGACTTCCTTCATCCTCGTCCCTTTGGCTCGCCTTGCTGGCTTGCCCTCTAAGGAGAGAGCTTTTGTTGCCGAATCTTGGGCCGCTGCGATTAAGGGAGCGAGGTGGGAGCGCGGGCGGGGGCGGGGGAGCGCGCGGAGGAGAGCCACCGGGACTGAAGGAAGCCTCTGCACCCATGGAAGTCGACGGAATGGCTTCCAAGCCGAAAAGTGGGCTCTGATCGGGGCTATGGCTCTGTCACGGAAGGTCACGTGTGCCCTAAGTAGCCCAACTGACTTGGACAGGATTACTCCTGAGCAAGGCAGTGAGGGGCGACCAAACTGAACAGCAGTGCTTGTTTACTAGTCAGCTTGCCAAACTGTTTTCTTTTACTCTTGTGTGTGTGTGTGTGTGAGAGAGAGGGGGGGGTTTAGATATTTCCCTTATATCTCTTTTGGATCTGGCTTGTTACTGATTGCACGACTGATTTGATGTTTTACACAGTTTATTCCTAAATACATACAAAGGTACATATGCATACATCTATATGAAACTACAGTATAGGTGTGTGTGTGTGTGTGCGTGTGCCCGTGTGTGTAATTTCACTATGCTTATGGCAAAACAGGAATGGAACAGAAAGAGGTGCCTCCTTTGTTTGCTATGCTTTGTTGGGGGAGGGGAAAGTGTGACGGTTTGAATGCCTGGAATTGGTCACTGAAACAAACAAGCAAGCAAATAAACAAGAACTACATAATAGATGAGTGGCAGGGGTAAAAAAAAAAGAAACGAAGTTATCTGACAAGGCTCAAAGTCTTCCAGGTCTGCAGGACTTGACATTCCAAAGTCGGAGAGGCCACGGGCGACGGGCCACGGACCGGGAAAGTTAGAAGCCCATGTTCCAATAATTGTCTTCTTGTTTATTTTATCCAAGTACCTCCCTGAATAGGGGAAAAATAAACATGCTAGGAAAAAATTCAAACAGTCGAGTCGTCTTTAGTGCTAGCCCTTGTGGCTGAATAAAAAAGGATGGTCCCATTTCTATTGAGCTGAGAAATCTTTGAAGTGGGGAGTTATTATCTGAGAAATTCCTCCTCGTCGCCCTAACAACGCTGATGAAACGTAAAAAGGTTCTTTGTCAGCGATTTGTTCTCCCCTCTGTCAAACTCTTTTTGCCCCGTGAGCTGGGACCGTTTCTAAAGAGATGAAACCCAACTTCTTAAAAGATAATGTTGGGATGGAGACAGAAAACGTCCCAATGCATGCAGTCAGAAACAGACGCCTCTCTAAGACTCCCTCTCTCTCCGTTGGGTGGTGGTGGGTCTAAGGTTGAAAGGATGGGAGGAGGAAAAGAGAAAGAGAGACACACACATCCAGAGAGAGAATCCCCCCTCTCTTCCAAACTTCGCCACTCTTAAGGAACTGCTCTCCTGGACTTGCCCTTCAGACCACATTTATTTTCCTTCTGTCCAAGCCATTGTTCTCTGAACAGAGTCCAAAGCCTTGTAAACAACATCAGCGATTAACATGACGTCTAGAACTGCTGTGGCGCCCCAGCACCCCATTACCCCAGTGTAATCAGTCCAGCAGCTTACCACAGGTTCCGCTCGTGTTAAGGCTGGGACTACCTATTAAAAACAGGTCTCTCGGCTGCAGTGCACTAAAACTGAGAAACGCCTTCAGAGCGATGGCTTCCATATGTTGCAGTGTTTATTGTCAACGAGTGGGAAGAAAGGGAACACCCGGCCCGCACGTGGTACTGTCAACAGAGAAACGACAAGTTGGAGGTTGTCTTCAGGAAACGGGTGCTGAGGAGGGATGAAGCCACTGGCTACCGGTTTTGTTTTTCTGCCACTGTTTACAGCTTTCGTTCCATCTCGGCTAGTAGTCTATAGGGGTACTCTTTGTCGCTGCCACTTGCCCTTCGGACTGTACGGCGAACTCTTTCAGTCCCAGCGGATTACTGGCGTGGCAAGGGATGAGCAAAAAAGATGTGTTAATTGATACCTTGGGTGAAGATACCAGGGTTTGGGCTGTGGATCCACTTGGGAATGGCAATGCACAGAAAGCCCGACCCACAGCTTAAGACGAAGGACTTTCACTTCGGTCCTAAATCGCTCTATTAAAAAAATGAGTAAAACAGGCCTACTGAGATCGATGGCAATTACTTCATTGTAAGATTTTTCAGCATAAATTTAACTTGAGATCTTCCTAAACCATTTGCCAAGGGGAAGAGAGCTCCACTTAAATAAGAGATTTGCATGTACCTAAATGACGACCGCGGGGATAAACAGTACTTCGCCTTAGTCAGAATACAAGATCTACTCACAGAAGAACATCTCAGCAAAATCGTACTTAAGCAACAAGGAAGATTATCCCAAAATATCCTTGTCCAGTCACTTATAGATTCACTTTAAGAGTTATCCACTGAAAAACGATATTTGTACAAATTCTGCATCACATGTGTAATGGATTTTGCTTTACATGTTTGCTTTAAATGTAATGGTTCTGTGGTACTTTAAGTGGAACTGAAAATTCTGGTTTTTTTCTTACGCAAAGAAATGACAAAAAAAATTGTAGCAGTTCCCAAAGGAATTTCAAAACCCCCCACACACACACTTCCAACTTATAAAGCTGTAGGCTTATACGCATTTTCTTGGGAGTGAATTGATTGGAACTTACTTTTAGGGAGACAACTTATAAAGCTGTAGGCTTATTTTCTTGGGAGTGAATATACTGTAATTGAATTGATCGGAACTTACTTTTAGGGAGGCATGTACAGTTCACCACTGAAAGCAACAAAAGGAAACTGCATAGTGATGATGCAGTTTTTATGTATTGCAACTAATTTTATTCACTTTCTAGTTGAAACTATAATTGCAGTTGGAGTATTATAGTTATGATATGATTTTTAAAAATCAAAAAAATGGGAGAAAATGCATTAATATTTGAACCATTGCTTCAACGAAGTATACTTGTAGGTTTTAATTAAAGCCCTATGTGGGAAATATGAATCTTGTTTTGTTTTTTTGGATTTTTTTTTATAATTAAATTCTCTTTTTTTATTTTTCTCTCTCTTGTCTTTCCAGCAGATTTTTTGAAAATCACGTGCCCACTGTGGTTTCATCGATACATTGAAAAGGATAAATGATGATCTTCAAGGCTAAGAAAGCATTTTTTTGCTAGGGAAATAATCACCACTTTCCACCCAAGTATTTTATTTTTACAAATATTTTCCAGAATTGTGACTTTTAAAAAATAACGCTGAAATTAATTCACCGGCTAAAGTAACCTACTTTTCATAAGAACAATTTATTAGTCCCACTACATCCCCCCCCTCCCCCCATCTTGGAACACTCCTGGCTGTGTTATATCTTCTGCGTTTCAATGCACATGCGCATTGACTGAAGAGAATAACTTCAAAGCCTGCGCCTTACACGGAGGCAGCACTTGGCTTTCTCTGGCTGAGAAATATGACCCGTGTGTGGCCGGAGCGGAGAGCTCGTGTCCCACTAAAATAATTTGGAGTTGCTTCTCCAGCAGATCTACGTGGGGTCCCGCTGCTTTCTTCCAATCCTAATCAGGCACCCTCACTAAAACCCAAAGAGATCCATTTTCAAGTACATGACTATGTGAAACATCTGGAGGAATGGGGTGGGAAGCCCTTTTTCGATATACGTATGGTGTTTACTTCCGAGAAAACATAGCTAAAGTATGTGGTTTAGCTTTGTTAATCCCGCAGCTTGCTGGGCTGTCTTTTTGACCTCTGGCTCATACATCTGCGGCGACAGAGAAACGAATCTGGAGGTAGTAGGAAGGGTCAAAAGAGAGTTAAGATACTGTGCTGGGGATTTGGGAAGGGCCAGCAAGGAAGTGTGGAAGTGTGAAGGCAGGATGCACAGAAACCTTTCTTTGGTCTCTAATGAGAAAGAGACGCTCCGAAGTATAAACCTTCATTACATCCGGCTGTAGCCGGCAAGCAAGAGAAGGTCCCCTCTGACCAGGTGGGGAGAGCCGTGCGGGCATTCTGTCCTGGTCCATCTTGCGGCTGCCTTTTCCTTCCTTCAGTGCCTCGCTCTCCCGCCGACCCCCTGCGCCCATTTTGGAGGCTCGCCTCCCCCTGTTGCTCCCTAGCACCGATCCCCAAGCAAGCCTTGGCATTGTGCGAGCGCATTAATTAGAGACCATTCATTTCACAAAAGGCCATTTGTATCTTTAGGAAATGAAGATTAGAAATATGAATCGGGGGAGCTGCTCCCCGTTTCCGCCTAAGTGTACCAGAGCGGAGTCTGGGCGGGGTGGTGGAAAGGAGAGGAGGAGCAGGAGATGGAGGAGGAGAACGAAGCTTCGGTGTCTTTGCACCTCCTTAATTGAATGCCCATCAAAAGGAATCGGTTGCGTTTCCCATTAGAAGTGCAGGGTCCCGGTGGTCGTAGTGATGGTGGATCGCCCCCCTCCTTCCCCACTTCTTTGTGCTATAGAGAAAGTTAGAGACAAGAGCAGCGCCATGGGAAGTGAGTGCTAACGTCGCCCTGGACTCCCACACCGGTGCCTGCCAATACATGTCCGCTCTTTGCCTACAGGGCTACCAATTTCTCGAGAACGGAAGTTGGCCACCCCACATGGCATGCACAGGCCGCCACTCTCCCCAGTAACTGATGTGAAATGGTTGCTGCCGTCCAGAGGGTGGAGCGGAGACGAGGAACGGAACGGCGTGAAGTCGAGTAACGCACTGCTTTAAGGGGGAAAGTTCCTGCAATAATCCTTCCCAATACTCCGAAATCTGTTTCGGAGGAAGTGGTTTATAGTTCGCAGCCTATAGGAAAAATGAAGGTTTTTCCCCTATATTTTTCCTATATTTTTTCCTATACTTTTCCTAATATTTCTTCTCATTTTCTTGGCTCCTTCCCATTGTGTTCCGTCAAGGTTAACTAAGGCACCTTTGATGTATTGGGATGTCCACGTGTCTTTTGCATTTTCACACCGATTAGAAATAGGCGGCAAAGTGGCCCAAGTACACAGAGGCTTCGGTTGTACAATCGGCCAAAACATGCAGGTTGCCAGTCGCTTCATGATGATTATATTCGTGTACGGGGATGAAGATTCATGAGAATTTGGGCCCCGATCCTAAACGCTAGCTGGGGAGCAAACTTCATTGAACGCGGTGAAACTTGCCCAGGATTGAGCAAGATTACTCTCTACCACCATATACAACCAATAAGTCAAAGTCTGTGAAACAGGACAGGAGCAAAACCTGGATTTCAGTGTGCAGAAACAGGGTGAATTTGACGAAATCACACTGTGTTGGAGATGTTTCTGCACATAATGATGTGGATAGCCTACGTTAACATCTTGATGTATCAGTATCGTTGTTGTGATATTCTTGTCGCTCTTGTTGATATACGCATCATTAGGAACTTTACCTTGTATTCACATTGAATCATATTTTGACCACATGCTTTGAAATAATGAAATCTACTCTTGAGTATGACTATGACTGGCCTGGATGCAACTTTCTTGACAACGGAAGGAAGCACTGACAGAACCCAATCAGAGTCAAGCTTACAGAATCAAAAGGGGTTTTAAAATATTATAGCCTATAGTTTCTGTTACCTCCCCCCCCACACACACACGCACGTACGCACACGCACACACACACACACACAGAGAGGAGTCAGAAATGCTCATATTTTCATTGTAATCATTTCATGTTACTAGGGCCATGTACTGACCTGCTTGCATTGGCCTTTCATTAGTTTGCCTTCTGTGAATGCTGTTTCCAAAATTTGGAAGTGCCATATAGGAAAGAGGAACCCACCTTCCTTCCTTCCTTCCTTCCTTCCTTCCTTCCTTCCTTCCTTTCATACAGACACACTCATTTAAAATGTAATTCATACATTAGCTTCATGCAGACTCTCATACCAAAAGTTATGAGAGTATGCACAATTCTTTTATGAATTATATTTAAAAAATCAATTCCCTATTGATGAATTTTTAAAATGTACCATTTTAGGGAGCTGGTAGATTCTGTTACCTTTTTTAATAAGAAGTTTAAAATCCAAGATGTATTAGTCACATACTTAAATGAAGAACCATTTTTCCCATATCTATAATGGTGAAAAATCTTCCAGGGATATCCATACTGTTTAAGAATCTATGTAAGGGGTAGTAACATTTTGAATTGTGCATTTATGATAACGTGTTAGTTTGGTTTTTTTTTTAAATACAGAACAAAAGTGATACAGATGCTTTCTTTCCACATCCAAATCATGAAAGTTTGACTCAAGGTGCAGTTTGTTTATTTATATATATAAACACAAAAAACACAGGCTAAATCCTCAAGCAGCCTTACAGCACTAGCATTTTAAATGAAGAAGAGAATCCCCTCTTCCCACAAAATCTGCTATTTTCAAGAGGTAAAATCTTTCAAGACAAAAAAATAAGCACTGCACAAATCTTTGGCTAAAACTTTCCGAGTAGCATCTTTTTAAAATGTTCCAAAATTTATCAAATACAGATTCTTTTAAAAGGCAGTACAAAACAAAAACCAAGAACTCCACTATTTTATATGGATTTAAATAATTAGCAAATGATGCAGCATCTCGTCTACAAAGTCCCAGACTTTGGAATTTCTTTTTCCCCCTTTTGAATTGCACAAAGTTGTAAATTAGGATGTGATCCTGAACACATTTACAAGGAACTTGTTTGAACACAGTGGGATTTTCTTCTGGATAAAGATGTAGAGGATTTTTACTGCTAAAAGCATCAATTGAACTGTGGGAATATTCTTTGTTCCATCATCTGTGCTGGGGTTTTTTTCCTTTGGTTTGCATCACTGGGAAACTTGATTCACAACCCAGTTAAGCAAGAGGCTATGCTGGTTCATTCACCTTCAGTGGAGATTTGTTGGTTTAAAGCTGAATACCTTAGCCTGACATAATTGTGAGATGAGTTTTAGATGCCCTAGCATAAGGCTGGTCTTCATGTTACAAAACTCCATCATCTTAATATTTTGTAGAATGTGTATCTTACTGAAACCCAGAAAAAACCCAATATTAATTTCATCTGGATAAACTGTATTCATTTTAATTAAACTCTTCTGGATTAAATACAGTTTTTAGATATATACAAGAGTGGCATTGTTTTTTTCTTCACTTCTACATATTCACAAAACCTTAAATTAAGAAATACATAACATGTAAGAATATTTCTTTACTGATGTTTGTATATCTTGTTTCTCTGTAAAAATTGTATTCTTTGGAATGCTTTATTATAAAGAGTGACAACTTCATTTATTAAGGTGTTAGTCAACCTGATAAACCTAATCCGTTTAGTCAGTAATTGTATTTTTCAACCCCTGAATATAATGTGTGTATGGGTGTGTGTATGTGTTTGTGAGCACATAAAACCTATACACACACATATAAAGAATGTGCATATATTTATGGAGACAGGAGAAGGGAAAACACCAACATTTTAATAAGGAAAATGGAGGAGAATCACTACCAATTTCTTGTCCAGAAAATGTCCAACATAAAAGTGTGTGTGGCATGAGGGAGGGGGAGAATAGTTGTAAAAATTTCAGACACTCTTTTAAGTGTGAAATATCATTTCATTGTACAAAGTTTAAAAGAGTGTCGGTAATCCAACTTCCGGAAAGTGTCCTGAATTATTTCAGCAGACTCTTTTAAAGGGGATTAGTAGGGGCTTTAGGCCTTCTGTTTTATTCAATCTCTGATTTTATGTTATAATTACGAGATGTAAAGCCTCTTGAATTAGTATGCAGCCCGTAGTCCAGACATTATGCAGGTGCTATTCTAATCATTCAGCTTTTTAATTAAGGGACGAGGTAAGAAAACAGAATAATAAAAACACTTTTGTGAGAGCTGAGAAAATGGTGAGCGACTGCATGAATGAAGCCTTTATACCTTCCCCTGACAGGTCAGACACCAATTGCTTGACTTACGACCTTTTCTTGGTGAAACAAGGCTGAACAGCTTTCTCACCTTGTTCCCATTATATGGCTTTTATCCTCTTGCAGAACTTATGGAAATGCCCTTAAGATTCTTACTTAAATTGGGGGGTTGGGGAGGTTTACGAGAATCTGTAGATATTTCCATCATAATGGATAGGTAGTTTATAAGAAATTACTTCCTCTCTAAATGTTCTCAAATGGGTGGACAATGTGTGGATAAGTGATGGCCATAAACCTTAATTATTTGTCTTTGAAAAAGAGTTTTGTGCAGACAGTCCTGGAAGAACACCGGTGGGGGTGATGCCAGAGAGTAACAATTTCTGGGGTTCAAAATATAAAGTTAACAGACCTCTGGTAGATTTAATGGCCTCTGAGCTCTTTTTAAATGCTAGACAGTCAATGTGGCATAAGTTACTGGCCCTGGGACATGGAAGATCTGTGTTTTACCCCCCCCCATGAATCTTTGTGTGGGGGGCACAGATTTTTTACAGAGGTCCTGCTAGGATAAAGAGGGGTAGAGAGAAGAGCTATGCACTCCTCCTGGAGCTAATGAGAGGAAATATGGAATACAGACTTGCTAGCTACTCTTTAACCTAAACGAATAGTCTCTTCAAAGTGAACCCGTTTCTAAACAGACGTTTTTACTTTACACTTTTGCATGCTACTACTGTATTTATTGCCACGTCTACTGCGAAACATCCACGAACAATGGGATTCTGGGCACATCGACTGAAAAGTCAGTCAGTACCTCCAGGCACTGGCAAGCAGGCAAAAGTTTGAAGGCCTCCACCAAGAGTGTGGCCCACTGGTTAGCTGACTGGGTTGCTGCTCTATGAAGAAAGGCTGTGATTCAGCGCCTGACCTTGTACGAAGCATTCTGGTCTTCTTGAGCTAGTTATCCTCTGACTGTTTAACCCTTGCAGGGCCCTTGAGAGGACAGAAAAGCAGGAGGATTGAAGTAAAGAAAAGGGAGAGTAGAGTAGTAACATGGCCTCTCTTAGAATTCTCCCTTGTTGCAGTAAATGTAACTCAAGCTGTTAAAAAATGTAACTCAAGCTGCCCAGAGACCTTTGGGTAGTGTGGGTAGCATATAAACTAAATAAATAAATAAATAAAAATAAATGAAAATGAATGAATGAATGAATGAATGAATGAATGAATGAATGAATGAATAAATAAATAAATAAATAAATTAAAAATACACTTGTGGTCTGTAATCCTTCCAGACTGGTTTCAAGAGAGGCAGACCAAGCTGGAAGCTCGGTTGGAGGACATGTTGCATTTAAACCTCTTCTCCACCTTATATTGAAGACAACTTGGGAGAGATTGCCAGTGGCTTTCCCCATCTAGTTCGCTGACCAGACACAATCCACGAGTTTTATGAAGGAAACATCTAGTGCCTTCAGTATTGGGCCATCATGTTGTTTGATTCTAAAGATCCACTTTTGTTCTGAAAGCCCCCAAGTCCTGCTTAGAAGACGTTTGCCCTTTGAAGTGACCTGATCTGTTTATGAACCGCTCCACACCCGAGCTTCTGCTGACCCATTCTGACTCAGAGGAACGTCTAGGAGAGCTTTGCTTAGTCTGTGTGGCTCGTTGAAATGAAAACCCAAGCACATTCACAACCCATTCCTCGTCAGGTCATTCGGAAGTAGGTCCCGTAACTGTCATCGTATGTATATTTACTTAAAAATCAGACTCACGGACTTACTCCCTGGAGCAGGGAAGGAAAGTATAGAATTGCAGCTCAGCTCCTTCCAGTAATCCTTCCCATTGAAGCCAATAGGGCTGCCAGAAACTGAGCTGTCAAGGGCTTAAATAAAGTCCAGGCACTTCCGCTGCCGGTAGGCATATGGCTCTTGCCTCATTAAATGAGTCCGAACTGACTGGGTTCTCCTCTTCTTTCTATACGAACTTCAATGAGATTCCGATTGTTCAGAAGCCACCTCATTCACATCCAGCTTCATTCCCACCTATTTGCAAGGCTGCCCGTGCGCGAGCGAAGCCCACCTGCTCTTCAGCCTAGCCGAGCCATACAGACCCTATGGCCTCTTCCACGGGCTTTCCCCCCTCCCTCCCACTCCTCCCCGAACTGAAGGCCAACTTATGGTCACTAATTATCTTTGCAGAATAGAGAAGAAAGACCATATTTGCCTCAGTTGCCGGGAGGACGGAGCCGCAGAGGAGGAATAAAAGGAGCGGGGGGAGCGGGGGGGGGGACCTAGACGTGGAAACAGGCTGGACTTTGGTGTACTGTATGCAAATATGGAAAGGCTGAGGGCGGGGAGACTTTTGGAAGTGGGTTGCCTTTATTGAAAGAGGAAGATCTCCCCCTTTCCCGTTTGTGCCTTTCATTTCCTGCCCCGATCCACCTCCTGCCTCCACGCTCCGCGCCTCGGGAGCAGAGTTCAGGAGCTGTGAATGAATCAGTTCGGACTGGCTCTCGGACGACGTCTTTTCTTTTTCCGGGAGAACAATGCCAAGTATTAGGATATCAGAAGCACTCCAAATGATCACGCGTTCAATTACTTTGCTTTCACGGATGGGGAATCCTAGTTTCTCTCCCTCTCTCCCTCCCTCTCTCTTAACCCCCACCCCCACCCCATCCTTCCAGTGTAAATCAAGCGCTTGAGTTATTAAGGCTAAGCACTAATCTTCCAACAA